AGTGCTCTGTGACTAGCTTGGCACGGCTAGCTGCTGGCACTTTTGAGTCTGTGACTTTGGGCGCGGCAGGAACAACTTTAGGTTCTGGGCGGGATGGCTGGGCTGGGGCTGCCTCCTCCGTGCTGCAAGCTGCCGCGCAGGCTGGCGCAGCGCCAACTTGGGCGTCATCCTGTACATCTTCCTCAAACATCGCAAGCAACTCTTCAAGTTCGTCACGGTCTGAGTCACTCTTCGACTCGGACTGGTGGTCGTCCAACAACAGCTGTAGCAAGTCAGCGTCCGAGCCGTCAGAAGCGTCTGACTCATGGGCGTTGGAGGCAGGTTATGTGCAAGATTATGGAGACTTACAACACATCGCCACAACGCCAATTACCGTCGATTACCGTCAACTACCGTGTATTAACGCAAGCCAACAAAACACACAAGCAATCTATTCATGGCTTCCGAGTGTTTGTCCACTTGTTTGCTTATCTTCATGAGTGCTTGCCCAAAGATGTGCCGGTTTTAGCTCTTATGTTGGAATCCCGCTCGAACCAGAGCCTTGTAGGCATAAGGGGTTGCGACCGCTACTCTTCGTGAGTCGAGGGACACATGGCCAGTGTGCAAAAGAGACTCTGGCCGAACGTGTTGCGCCTGCTTTGACAGGCATGGGCGGCGTTCCGAAAGGCCAAACAATTTATATGCACCAATGGCTTCACTCAACCTTTTTCTAGGCGCATCGAGCACTCCTGTCAGTCTTGCTCACTAGCTTCTCCGAAAATATCTTTCAAAGACTTCTTGCCAGGCACATTTGTTGTAGCGTCTGGCTTTGTCTCGTTCTGTGCAGGGGTCAGCTTGTCGAATGGAACAGTTTTCCATTCGGAATGCTTTGAAATCCAGATTTTACACTTCTTGGAATACACGGCTTCCACGGTGCAAGCGGCGCCGTGATATTTGTCTCTCTGTTTTGTAGCAGACAAAATCACTTTGTCTCCTGGCTTAAAAGTTGGAACAGTAGCGGGTCCAGCTTCCTTCGGTGCAGCTGACGCAGCTGAGTCGGGCTTCGGAGCATTCGTGTTGGCGGGCTCTGGCAGCAATTTCACAGCCGCGCGAAGCACAGTCACAGCTGGCCCAGAACCACCTGCGTGATTCAGCAACTTATGCATTTCCTGGACATGCCCTAACTTCACCACAGCTTCGGCTGTTGGCAAATCTGTGTCGAGCGGCTTAGAAGCGCTCAGTTGCAACTTATGTTGCAAAACTTCGTCAAACACTTTCTCAGCAAAAACCAGTGCCTCAGGCGACAGCTTCAAAACCTTCTGTCGCAGTGCCAGCAGGCTCTTAAGCACTGGCGCGTTCACCCACGAAACCACCACTGCACACTCCCCGACGGAAAGCATCAAGTCCAAGCCGGCTTTCACTTGGCCCGCTGTCCGGCCATCAAATTTGCCTTCCGCGAAACCCACCAAAGCCATTTTTGGATCCGACTCCACCCATTTGCGGTATTCATCCAAACGAGCTTCGTCCGCCAGCAAATATTTTACCTCAAATCACACGACACGGACCACCGATTTCCGTCCTCGAGTCACAAAAATAAATGCAATACGGCTCTCCCTGTAGTATTGGTCATTTCCTGAAAAGCACCGGTTCGAAAACTGAACCAAACACGGAATCCCAAAAGGTTGGAACGTTGGTTCACTTTGAACAACTGAGTCCCTGGCTTCAAAGCTTGCTATGGGGCGCTCGAACTGATTGGTTCTGAACACAAAGGACAAAAAATGGGTAGGGTGCGCGATATGGGGTTGGTCCAAGGGGTGAAGCCAATATTTCCAGGCTGTTGTGGCAACTGAGAGATTCCGTTTTTGATACAAATAGCCAGAAGGCAGGGGCTTCTTGCGTTTTCCCAAACATCGATCCTTGCGTTTTCCCAAACATCGATCAGTGAAAGAAGGAACCTTTAGATCAGTGTCAGCCTGGCTGCGCAAGACACGGTCCTGGCCCCTCAAGGGCAAGTCTTTGAGGGTCATAGTTGTAAATGGCTGCGGCTCCAGCTCAATGATTCAAGAGCTGTTTGCAAGGCGCTCTCTCAAAGCACAAGCTTGATGTTGCTGATTTAAATCTTGGGATGGTTTTAAAAACAGTTCATAGTAAGTGGGAACATGTGGGGGCCAATGCAAACACTGTTTCTAGGGTTTTCTCCAAACCTATATATGTATATATATATATACATATATATTATAATTGGCGTATATATACTAGGCTGAAAAACGATGTAATATGACTCTCCGTATCCCCCAGATGTGGGTCAAGTGAACCCAAACCCCTGGGCAGGCACAAGGCGCTGACCGGCATACAAGCCGAAATTGGGTGAGTCATTGAACCCTGTGCCCCATCCAGGCGGCTCACATTTCCCCCCCCCCCATGATATGGCGTAAAAACCGGTCAAATTCCCTCTCAAAGCAACTCCCCTAAAAACCGCAAAATCGCTTAAAACCGGTCAAGTTCTCTTCCAGAACCTCTAGAAACCTTGGCCCAAGCTCACTGCACTGCCATTCTGTAGCTCTCTGCAGCTCTCCTTCTGACCCTTCAAGCCATGTGGAAATACGCAGACATGCACCCGCCTACTACCTTGGAAACTCGCGCAACACAAGACTTCAAAGCAAACTAAAGCACGGTGTGTACCTCAGCCAGCTGGCCGAGGCGGGCAACGTTTTCAATTACACATGTTCGAACCTTGAGCTTGGAATGACGCCCAAACCTGCAGCCAAAGATACCTTCTCACATTCCGGGGCAGCTCCGAGCATGGTCCTGAAGAGTCGAAACATCATCGGAGGCAAAATATGTCAAACATACAGGTAATAAGCAAACCGGTGCACAATGTAGCAACCACAGTCCTTCCCAACAGCAGTCTCGGATCTTCCCCTTGCACTTGAAGCAGCCGCTGAACTTCACGCAAGCGCACGCTATTGTCATCGGTGGAAGCAGTTACTGCAAGGACCTGAGCCTCGAAACGGGCCTCTTCAAAGCCCGCCCAGAGCGATGATTGCACAAGCCTTCGCTTGCCTTCAAGTGGCAAGAAATCCAACGGAAGCTCTTTGGTAGAGTCGGGGCTGGCGTTGGCCAAAATGTACAAGGCTTGCAGAACACCGTGGCGTGGGAAAAGCTTTGGGAATTTCTTCTCCAAGGATTCGAGAGGGGCGGTAAACTTCGAGAGAATGGCATACGCCGCCTTGTGCTCCAGGAGGGACCGCGCTATAAACCGGGGAAATGGCCCCAAGGCTTCGCACAAAGCCTCTTGGTTTTCTTCATCTGCCAGGGCATTCTGGGCATGCTGAATGAAGGCCCGAACCCAGAACTCCGCAGTGACGGTGTTGGGATCATCTGCAACTAAGTTCCCCTTCTTGAAGCAATCCAAGCACGCTTCTGCGATGGTCTCAATGTCCGAACTCTGCTCCTCTGAAGACCCGCGCGCCAGCAGGCGCTGCTTCTTCTCCGGCGGCTGCTCCGAAACTCCTAAGATACGTCGCAGAAGCAAGGCGCAAATGGTTTTAATGCGACATTGCCACAAACCTCTATAGAAAGAGTTTGGAAAGCTGGCATCATTCATAGCTGCGCAACTCTCTTCCTGCGGCGGCGGTTGCGAGATTTCTGGCACCTCTGTGGTAGGGGTAGGCGCAGCGGACATGGGCGCAGACCCCAAAGATAGCGCAGGGGTTCCGCTAGGCTTTGCGCAATCTGTGTACACGCCCACACTCATTTCCCACTCGTGCGTCCCAATCGGCAGGTCAGCGCGCGGGATCTTCTGGTCTAGCACAAAGACATCCTCCCAAGCCACTCCTGCGCCGAGGATTTGGTAGTTCAAAATTATTTTGGGTTCGGCTGGAGGAGGGTTTGTATTATTGGGGGGGCCCCTTCATAAGTCGGAAGAAGCGGTTAGTTTTGCAGCTTAGGGCAAGCGCCCGGCCTGGAATCGATTCATTTTCTTGGCTATGGATCTGAGCGTGCTTCATGGCCTCCGGCACGCCATCTGGCCACTGCGAGCGGGGCACCACCCACACGCGGCTCTTAAGCGCGCTAGAAGATCTCACCATCCTCACAGGCTCCAAGCAACAGCGCGTGACTGCGCTGACTGTGCACTTGCCCAAGACTATATGCCGCCATGCCTCGTCTTCATATCTGCCATCATGCCAGCACTGACACGGCCCACAAGCGATTTCAAGCCCAGGTACAATCGGATCATGGGCTCCGAGGTGTCGATGTGGGCGTGCTGCGGCTGCCATGCTCGCAGAGCACGCAAGGCCTGTCAAGAAAAAATGCTTCCCCTGGCCTCTATTACTGCGAGCGCGTGAAAAGCGCTGAACTGCACAATCCTGCCTGCTGACGGCTGTCCCCCGTCAGTACAATCTCTCCCATGGCACGGGCAACATCCTGCTCCGAAACACGCGACATGTCCTACGCCAGCACGTCAGCCGCCTACACAAACACACACTGCAAAACTCAGAGCCAAGTGCGGGTGCGAGTCAAAAGTGCTGCGGCGCAGGCCACACATCAACCGATGAAGACCGACGGTAACTGACGGTAATTCACGGTAATTCGACGCTAATTTCACCCCAAAACATGTCAAAAGCAAACCAAAAGGGTTAATATCAAAATAAGCTGTTTATATGTCAATTACCGTCATGCTACTGTCAATTACCGTGAAACACCGTCAATTACCGTCAATCACCGTCGCTTGCCGCACCAACCCTCTCTGCTCAATGCGAAAAAATCCTGCATGCTGGCACGCTCGTCACGCGATGCGTTTTTCAGGCGTGGCGCCAGGCCTTGGCTTTGCTCACCTTGTTACCCTAAAGCAGCTGGCAACCAACGTCTAATTTCCCGCTCCGCGGCTCTGCATAAAGCGATCCCGGCGCAATCGTCTTTTAACTTCTGACACTCCCGCGTGTGCCACTCCTGTCGAGCCTTGACTCGCGTGTGCCACTGTTGCCTTGTAGCCCTGTGTAACATCCAAGCACGAAGAACAAGAACCGTTTGCCGTGGTTGATCGATCGAGGGATCGAAGGTAAGAATCTGATACGTTTTGCTGCGCTCGCTAGATCCAAGCTCTGAGTCCTCGCACCACTTCGTGCAAACCCACATCTTGCAGTCTGTGTACCTATGATCGCGCATAAGACGAAAGTAGCCATTGTTCCACACAGTGTGGGTATTGGGCGGCAGGATGGTCTTGCCCACTTCAGCGTCAGGTTCAGCCTGGTCGCTTCCGGCACTTTCCTCCTCAGCAAGCGATTCCATATCGGATAAGACGGACACTTGGCTACTGGAGTCACTAGCGTGCAAGCTATGAAAGTCCTCAAGGATCGCCTCAGAGTCCGAATCTCGTGGAGCTGCTGCAGTTTGAGATTCTTTCCGGCAAAGAGGCGCCGCATCTTGTACGTCCCATTCAACACTTGCCGCTGAAGTAGCAAAACACTCAAGGCTCATGGTGTAGACATCCGGAGCTTGTGGCCATTCATCAATCTTGGCACACAACGTCCCGATATCTCTGCATTTTGAATGAAGGTTTTCCAGGTCAAGCCTGCAGCGGAACTTCCCATCTCTACTGATCACAGTCAAGCGAAGGCCCCACAAGGACTGTCCCACACGCCAACACATAATGGCCACACGCGTGCCCGTCGGCCACTTCAACAAATAAAAAGGCCCGTCCAATTTCGGAAGTAATTTCGCAAGCCAGTCCGGGCTCAGCTTCGCCGCAGGGCGAAGTCTCGGACCTGCAGTCAGGCCCTGCATGGGCAAGAGTCGTTCAGAATATCGCTTCCTCGTTTCCGGGGCATCCCTGCAAAGACGGCGAAACTCAGCCTCGTTCTTTTCTAAATACCTCACCCATTGAACGTTGGTGACGGGCACGGCGACGTCATCCAACTCTTGGCGACGCCGTCTTGCTCGCGCCCTCATCGCCGATGCCTCTTTCTGAAGCTCTTCCTTGTTTTCTCGCATATAAGCGGCCAGGCGCGCAGGATCACCAGCCGTGATCAAACGCCTTTGCTCTGCCTTTGAAACACTTTCCTCCCAGTGAAGCTTTCCCCTCCCTCTGCTGAAGAGCTCCGGGTTCCTGGCAACCGCTAAAGCAGTCGCCGGCATCTTCTCGTACTTCGCAATCAACTTCTTTTCTGCTATATGTGCTCGAAGCCGCTGTCTGCGCCACACGGCAAAAGCTTGCAGTATGGACTGCGCAGACGCTCTGTGTAAGCTTGCAACCTTCTCCCTTTTTTCAGCACGTTTGTCTTGTTGGTTCTTCCGTTCAACGTCTAAGCTCGAGCATTCGGAGTACTCTACAATCCCACAAAGTTCACCTTGAGTTGCGTCTGATAGCAAAAACTGCAGTGCTGACACTGAATCGCCGGTCGCCCAGGCTTCTTGATGTAAACAGGAGGAATATCCTTTGTCCAACTCTTCGGGAGATAAGGAAAGGAACGATTCCGCCTCATGGATGTAGCCAGCTGCGTTGTACTTCTGTGTAAGTCGCCATATACAATAAGGCCACGTCTGAAAATCCGCGAATCGCATATGAACTTGAATCTGCGTGGTCAGTAAAGCCATGACACAGGTGCTGACCTAAGTGTCATACATCCGAGCCCAGGCAAGGTAACAACGCCCAGATTCCCCGAACCAAAAAACAGCCCAATGCTAAGATCTAACTTTTAGGACGTAAAAACGCCTCGTTGAAACGAATCAACCTCGACAAGCTTGAGGAGGGGGGGCGCAAATGATAACTCCAGCTGCGATATGTGTCTTCGAGCTCGAAGAGCAACGCAACCCGACCCGTAGGGTATACGGATGACATGTTTCGTGCTGCGTTTGGCGCAACCTTCTAAAAGCACAGTCAATACCGCCGAAATCGCCCCCCGACACGGCGAGCCAACACTATACCAAAACCACCAACAGTTCCAGCATTTGCGCGTTACAGCATTTGCGCGTTACAGCATCCTGCCACCATCCCCAGCATCCCAGGACGCCAACCTTCCAAAATGTCTCGGCAAAAAAAGCGGGAAACGCGCGCGCACGCCGGGCTGAGCAACCCCTGCAACCAACCAGCGCAGCTGGTGGTGGCGAAGCCCTAAACCGTATGCCACTGCCAAGAAGTATTATGACCATGTCGCCTGCTCTTCTGTGGCCAGGCGGCGTCTATGTTGGGGTCGCAATACAGGAAGGACACAATTGTCGACAGCAAACTCGCTGTGGCGCGTTCTACTGCCTGTTGACCCAAACGCACCATGGTGGGAAGTCGCCGTGCATCATCTCCAGATCGCTGTGGCTTCTGCGAGGCAATGTCCACTGCTAGCTTCGTGAGTCTCAAACACAGAGTTACGCTCCGTAGGTGCTTATCTGTGCCGGCTTCCTGCCACCATGTTCTAAACCTCACCAACCGCCGCTCGTTTTCAGGTCGGGGCTGCGTAGCTCCAGAGCTAAACAGCCAATCCGGTAATCCTAAAAGCTTGCATCTAGCGAGAGCATTAATTGCTGAAAAAAACGTCCAATAACGCGTCACAACAGGTTTGCTCTCAACCACGCACACCAATTTGTACAAGAGCGCAAACAGTTCGCCGTTGATAGAAGGCAAAGAAGTGCCTGGAGGGCACCTGTGACGGAGCTTTCGAACATCCACATTCAATAAAGCACACAAATGGGTTGGAAAAATGTCCTCGCCATACAGTTGTAACAAACCCCAATCTGGCCTAGCTTGGATTTCCGCGGGGAAGCCTTCTTCCAAAGCCATGTTCTCCAAAACGAAGGCACGAATGTTTGCTCCAATCTCATCTGCGTACGCAGGCATGATATATTTATAAATGCGCGAGCAATTGGCTCTCAAGGCAGAATCCCTTTGACCACTACACACAACAAACTGAGCCACCAAGTTGGCCCGATGGCTTGAGCACTGCCAATTCAGCAATCGGTATGAAATCCATGACCTTTTGGCCCAGGTACGCTGAAAATATGCCATCACTATTGCAAGGGCGGCTGCATTTGTATTAATTCCATCCCCTGTCACCAGATGTAGGATGCGAACTGGCTTGTCCGGCTGCGGGGACTCGCCCAGCAAGGTTTCCAGGAGGCTGCAAAAAAGCTCGATCAAGGCTGTTGCAATGGTGGCCGCGTCTTTTCTCCCCAGCGCTTGCAACTCTGTGTAGTATGGAAGCGATTGATCGTCCATATGCACGGCAACCGAAGAATTTTGAACCTTCGACATGCGAGATCGTGACATGCGCAACGCATCACTTGGAAGCACAAGTGACGCATCACTTTGCTGAACTGCACTCTTGCTCCGGAAACGTAGATCCGCTCCATCATGTATATGCGTCACATATACGGGACTGTCCCTGTTCGATCGACCTTCGAAGCTGGATTTCAGAAGATGTTGATTTGTAGACTTCACAAGTTCGCAAAAAGCGTCACGAGTGCGGGAGACACTCCACGAAGAAATTGCTTGCTTTTCACACAATGCAAATTCAGACAGCAACTGTTCCAGAGTCCGAGCTGGCAGTGTAGCTTCTGCTAAACCAGCGCGGACGTGCCATATGTGCTCGATGCGCCGAGAAGGTCCCTTCTCCGGCATTTCCTGACATGCCTTACGCTGCTCTTCTTTCCGCTTCCTCTTCTGATATTGCAATCTCTGTTGCACTTGCTGCAGGGTGCATTTTTTCATATTCCTTTTTCGTTTTCGAGTCAAAACCATATCCATATCAAAATGTTTCTCCATCGTGCTGAGAAAGCAACTGCAGGCATTCTCCAGGTCTGCCTCGATTCCTGAGAGCTCTTGCAACTTTTTCACACTATTGTATGCCATGGCAGCCGCTGTCGAAGCAGAACTCATGGCTCCAAACGTTAAGCAAACATGGATGCATATACAAACATCAAATGATTGCTTTTGCAGACTGCTTCTGCTGGCCAATGCATTTGCGCTGCCCCATGCGCCTCTCTACTGAGCC